GACTCGTTGGATCGGAAAAAGTATCATTTGCTGGCATGCGATGAGGTTAAAAAGTCTATGTACCAGGGAGATTTCGGGTTGAGATCTTTTGTGGAGGTGAATTTGGCCTTACAAAGGAAGTGACTCTGGAGATTCATGAACGAAAACGGTATCCCCTAATGGAGGGTGATTGAGGCGAAGTTTGGAACCATGGATAGAGGGTGGTACACCAGAATATTAGCTCGGCTCATGAGAAAGAGATGTGGAAAAAATATGCATTGAAAGGAATAAATTTCCATGATCGTATCAGTTGGAGGGTTGATAGTGGGAACAAATTTAGTTTTTAGCATGATGCTTGGTTAAGAGGGGTATTAGTTAGAGAATAGTTTCCCAAATCTATGCTATTTGTTCATGGGTCGTATAGAGTCAAAACAAGAGAGGGGAATGATTAGCAAGTTAATGGTTATGAGACTCTTCTCCATACACCCTCTACTACACAATCAACAAGAGTATCGAGCAACCAATTTGGAGACTTAATGCTAGAGGGTCTTTCTTGGTCGGGTAATTCTATAATTATTTGATTAAAAATGAGGTCATAGATGCTAGATTTCCTTTTTGACAAATCTGAAAGGTTAATGCTTTATTTAGAGTTGTTTTTTTTTTGTGTGGGAAGCAGGTCGTTGGTGTATCCTATTAACAAACTGATAAGAAATGAGAAAATATTGGTTAATGGATGTTTTTTATGTAAGGGGAGACGAAGTCTTGTAATCATATCTTTCTTTGATTCCCACTTGTGTATAAATTGTGGATCATGGCTTATGGGTTACTGGGAATCAATTGCTTGATGGCTAGGTCGGTGAGGGATTTGAACCTGGAAGGGTATTAGTGGATTGAAAAAACATGTAAGTCTCATTCTTCTTACTATTTTTTGGATGGATTAAAGGAGAGGAATAAGAGAATTTTTGAGGGGGTGGAAGATGATTTCGATAGGTTTAGAGATAGATGGTTTAAAACCCTGAGTTTTTTTATTATGAGTCATCCTTTTTATATAATGGAGGATTTTCTGGATCTTATTGATATTCTAACTGATATGTAAATATCTTTCGTATATGGATTGTCATCCTCATGGTGTTTGTGAATAAATGAACTATATTATACTTTTTATCTCAATAAAAAAAAGAAGAGCTAATTCCATTTGAAAGACAAATATAAGTTGTTAATCCAAATTTAAAGTTCTGTTTAAATAACATTCTGTATTAATTGAAAGGTCAAAATTTATGTAATTAGGTGGGAGTACGTTCTAGAGTACAGCAAAGACATAAACGCACTCCTCGGTAATCCAACAGTGCTTCCTGGCCCCGTAATTGAAGACCCAAAGAGAGTTTTAAAGGTAAGTCTTTTGTAGTCTTCATATGAGGCCTATATTCCTTCTTGACTTTGGTTGACCCTCCATTGTACAAGTTCAATTACTATGATTGAAGAGGCGCTCTCATCTAAGTCATCTTTGTCCCGTTTAAATCCTTTCTTGGATCTTAGAGAGTTGAAGAACCAACATGTTTAAAGGCTGCGTGGAAGCTGATGGAAATTTTCTATGCAGACAAGATGTCTCACACATGGCTACCTGAACGACTTGTTGATTGGCTAGCTGTAAGTATTGCTCTTCCAACTTCGAAAATATATTAACTAGATGTCTTTCATTTATTTTGAGAATATATAGGAAGCCTGTCAGTTGCTGATTGTTAAGACTGAAATCTTGAATCAAGCAGGTTCCTTATGTTGTAGATTTCCTCCTGTTGTGATCTAAGTAGGCACTATATTTGAATTTGAGGGAAGTGAAGGAAAAAGAAAAGAATGGATGGAATATACTTGGATAAAAATATAATAATTATTAGAGGAAATACTGAACAGTGAGGATCCCTCCCTTTAATTTATACTCTTTAACTTTTTTTTTAATTTCTCTAAATTAGGAGAAAATAAAGAAAAAGGAAAGGACTTAAATTTTTTTGAAAAATTGTTTATTTTATCTTTATATACTAACTTGTCATTTATAATAAACAGTATCATTAACTATTTTCTCATAATCTAATCATTTTCTTTCTTTCATGAAATAAAATAAACAAAATATTACCCAATCCTTATCCGAATAACGAAAATATTGTTTTTTTATCATTTTAAAAACAGAACATTTTGCTTAATATTCTATCTTCTTTACCCAAATATAATGTTGGCATTATTAAGGACCCCAAGAGAATCGATCTCTTAGAGTTAGGTACTCTGGATCCATGAGAGATAATTTTGAATCTTTTGATGTAGGAAAAATATGTTAATTTGTCCAATTAGGGATTTGGGGATAAAAACCCTAGACATCACATCTATACATCACATTTATGAAGTTGTAAGTATCATGCTCAAGATTTTGATTGCATTACATAACCAAAAAATTGAGAAACTCTCAAAATATTATAGAATACTGAATGCTTGAATAAGTAAAATTATTAAGTTATTTATAATAATTTCTAAATAGTATTTCGAAATAAAATTAAACTAATAAATAGTAAACTAATAAAACTAGCAATAATCATAATACAAATAAGAAATATTCCAAAAAGAATAAAATTTGAAGTTACAAAAACTATAATACTCTTCAATAGTATAGACTTCTAAAAAGTATAGTGATTTTACATTTAATATAATTATAATTTTTAAACTATTTTGCAAATTAATGCTAACCCATTCTTCATCATTCTCTTATTGTTGGAGAAAATTGTCCACGAGTTTTGAAATGGTAATTGATGTAAAACCTTGATCTTCGATCTTTCTCACGAAAACTTAGCTACCTTTGTGTTTGGTTGTTTTTTTCAGTAGCAAATATGATGAAAGCACGTAATTCTTTAGAGTTTAAAGTCTTGATTGTAGGATAAAATCAACGTATTGACCAATTTGCGTTTCAACTTTATCCTTGACTTGAACATCATTAGGTCCAATTATTGGCTTAGGTTCCTCGTATTGACCTTCTATATTAGTCTCCATAGGTAGTGAAAGATTTTGAATAACCTTAGTATCTTTATTTTTTTTTGAAATAAAAAATGTGAAATAACATTAATAACGGATACTAAGAAGGTGCCAACTTGTATACAAATATTTATATACCTATTAAAATATCAATAAGATTCCCTAAATTCTCCGTGGAATAAAGAGGATGATTCAACAAAAAACCCAAAGTTGGAACCACCCATTCATAACCATGTCAAACTCATTATCACCATCTATCATCTCAAAAGCTCTTTTATTTCTTTCTTTTCAAACCACCTATAAAATAGTAAGAAGAATGATGTTCGCATGTTTCCTTCACTTATAAGTCCTTTCCAAGCCCATATTTCATCTCTTAATCGAACTAGCGATCACCCAATTGATTCTCAACAACTTGTAAACCATCATCCAAATCTTTCAAGTCACCAGAAACCAAAGAAGAAGGTGATTAGAAGATTCTGTAATGCTTTGACATAGATAACATCTATTCACCATAATTTTGCCTTGTCTCATCAAATTGTCAATCATTAAAATATGTTCCCTCCTAGCTTCCCATGCGAAAAATAACATTCTTGGCGGGATTCTAGCATTCCTAATCTATTTGGATGAGAATTTGACACTAGAACTTTTTTTTTGGTTAAAAAGTTATTTAATGATTTAATAAAAAAGATCCCATTGATTGCAAGTCTCCACACCGGGGAATCATTGCTTCCCTCCAATGAGTTGTGCACTTTAGCATGTTGAAAAGATTCTCATACTCGTTAACCTTCCAATCATTGAGATTTCTAATCACGTTAATATGCCACTTCCTTTCTTCCTCCCCCCAACATCTCTGAAAGAATCACAAATAAGGATATCCTTCTGTTGTTTAATATCAAAGATATGAGAATATTGTTCTATTAAGGTCCCACCCTCTATCCACGGGTTAAGCTATTTTCTAACTCTGTGGCCCTTTGCCAAACTTCTACATATTGTAGATGCAGAGCTTGTCCCTATCCATTCCAATTTTCTTCCATAAACCCTTTCGATGTAGTCTGGATATCGCCTTGGTACTCCACCCTCTATCATCAGTGCCAAACTTCGCCTCAATCACCCTTCTCCATAGTGCCCGCTCTTCCAACATGAACCTCCATAACCATTTTCGTTATAAAGTCATGTTCAACTCCACCATGGATTGAATCCAAATCCACCCTGTGAAAATGGTCTTTCAATCTCATACCATGCCACCAAATGGTATCTTATTCCTTCCTTCGAGTCACCCCTAAAGAAATCTACGTTTAATAGTTTCTAATTTTTTGGCCAAACTAATTGGAATGGCAATAGAGACATGTAATACACAAACAAATTTTCAAGAGTGCTTTTGATAAGTGTGAGTATGCGTAACTCAGAATCAATGATGCAATTCGAAACCCGACATATAACATTAGTATGCATAAAACTTAAATCTCTAATAAACCTTCCCTACTTGACCCAGTCAGCAATGCGATGGTGAAGTAAGGTAACTGGAAATAAGAAATAGAATTGAAAAGACGTCACGAGAATATCTCAATAAGTAGATTCAATTCCTAACTCAACGAGACAGTTGAAAAACCTCCCAAAGAGCAATCACAATTAGCAAAAGATAAAAGTAATAAATTTGAAATTTTATTAATTCTGAAAATTGTAAATAATAAGCTAAGGGTGAGACATTTATATAGGCTTTCACCGATTTAATTTTAATTGAATTCAAAAGTAAAATCCTAATGAAAGTCTTAATACAACTTTATCTAGGAAACACTGAAAATAATTATTGAAATTGCATAAATTAAATAGAACTAAAATTCTTCTCTCTTGAAGCAAAGAAGTGTTGTGGCTGAATTCTCCATGTTATCTTTATTTTGAATTTGTTTTTTAATATTTAATTAATTGTTGTTGTAGAAGTTGAGTTGAAGGTGCCTTACAAAGTGCTTTAATTGAAGTAAAAAACAAATCCTATCCTTAGATAATTCCCATGTGTGAAATCAGAAAGGATGGACTTTGAGCTTTCCTTTTTTCTTGTTGATTCCAGCTCCTTTATTTAATTAATTCTTGAACAATGATTCCTCTTTGAACTCTAGAAGGATAATCGGTCTCCAACACTATTCTTGCCACCCTCCATAATCCTAGAAAGGACTTTTATTGCCGAAGTTGAGTGAGAGAAGAATTAGGGAGGAAGAGTCCCTCGCGGGAAAGAGTTAACCATGCGGGTGAGACTCTTTTTCCTCTCCACCTCTCAGCCAAGCATGTGAATCACGGGATTCACACATGGTCGCTTGTGTGAAGCATGCCACAACCCTTTAAGGCCGAATAGGCAAGGGCTTGCACCAAACCGAAGCCTTTCTCCTTTTCGTGGGACTCCTCAAGCTTGTAGGAGTCTAAGTACACCTCAAGCTCGTGGGAGCTCAAGCTTTCTTAAAGTCCGTGGGAGTCCAAGTGATGTGGAACCCGAGATCAACAATAGAATCCAAAACTCCGCATATACATCAGCAATCAGAAATTCAAAATCCTAAACAAATCCTCCCTACTTGATCCGTATCCAATAGGGGAGTGAAAACTAAAGATAATTGGGAAAGAAATAAAGAATTAGAATTGAAAAGACGTCACGAGACTTATCTCGATAAGTGATCCAAATTCCTACCATAACAAGTTGGTCAAAGACTCACTCACTCATTCTTGCAATCTTGAAAGCTTAAAATAAGAATATCTGAATTTTATTAATAAGTTGAAATTTTGAATTGAATTATAACTCTAATTGGATTGTCTATTTATAGTGTA